TTCTAAAAGTCGTGCCGCACCATACGGCGGCTCCTCGCGCACGTTTTGCGCTTACGTTCTCGAGTTAGATTAACCTGTCACTAGAGAGATTACAAACCGCTCGAATCAACGAGAGCCTTTCGTCATTTGAAATTTGCTACGTCCCTTTGGGCTATTCGATACAATCTCTGATGTAATGTTACAAAAATATATGCACATGGGAAAATTGCAGTAAAAATTACGTTCAATTTATTTTAGTAATAATAATATTTTATTACTTCAGCTTACGGTCCCAGGAAGGGACTTGGCTTACATTTCATCTACCACATTCACACTCATTCACACACCTACTCCTTATTGTTCTTCTTACATTCGCCTCTTATTCTATATTTTTAACTTATCCTATAATTTGACTTGAAACTCTTATATCTTTGGTTTTACCTCTTACTCTTAAGCTTTACACTATTACATAATTTATATTCTACATTGCATCTTTAATATTGTATTTTCTTTTTATATTTTTACATTTTCGCTTTTTACTTGGTACCTAATATTATACATTGCACATCTTCTTTTGGTATTCATCACCCTTCTCTTATTTAATCCTATTACCTACTCTTATTCTTACCTAGCATATTTTATTTTACTATTTTTTTGTGTAAAGCTAAACTATAAAGAGAGGAGGGAGACCAAAAGAAGCAAAATGCTATACATTTCAAAATTTCGAAGTTAAAACTTTTCAAACCAACCAACTATTATGATTGACTGTACAGACAAGATAGAGACAACGTTTCTTTATGTTTTTATACCAGTAATGATGCTGTAAACCGTATATTTTGTTCTGTAGTAACCGAAATACGAACATGTTGTAATATCGCACCGACAATAACGGATAAAATTGGCCATCAACTTAGAGAAAGTTTACTATAAAATACACATAACTTTGCACCTTGAAAATTATTTTGTTGTGTACAATTATTTTATAATATATAACGTTTTTTATTACTATTTTATTTCAGAATAAATATAAAGACACATTTCCGATAGTCAGAATATAATAATTTATGTTTTCTATTTACATTAGCATAATGCCAACCTTATCTTGTCCACTTATTGATTTCAACTATTTTATGAGTAAAAATTATTTTTATTAACCGAAACAGTGTAGTTGCAAAAAACTTGATTCTAATTAATAACACATTACTTAAGTTTATTTACACATGGCGAAGAATATTAATACGAAATGTCGAGAAAATTCATTCGACTACTATTAAATCAGTTTTTCTAGTTTTTAACTATATTATGTTATTATGATTTTTATGAAAATCTGGAAGAAGTACATATATTCTAAAAGGAATGTTTTGTGGTTGTTTACACTGTTCTTCTCATATTCTAAATACATAAATAAAGCACGAGGCCAATAATTCTTGGGTCAACTAGACCCGGTCTCCCCTACAAACAGAAAAATTTATTTTAAATTAGAAATTAAAAGAATCTTGTCGTAATTTTTATTGCAATATTTTCTCCGTGTACGCGTAAATGCTCAGCATTCCATTATAGATTATTAAATTACTTAAAGAAACGTTGCAAACAAAAAAAAAAGTTATTTTTGCCGATACTACACAAGAGTGTTTTCCTATGACAGCAAATATCAGCAGGACTTTTTGCGCATATTAATCAAATGCCATATGTCTACGATATTATTGCAGTTTTGCGGTAGCTTCAGCTATACTTATGTCGCATTTGTTCTGACGTGACTAATGATAATTAACCACGAAGAAGTCATGCATCGTAACCGATACGCTAGACGACGTGCCAACCGGTAACGCAATCTATCGTATCGATTAGGAAATATAACCCAATTCCAGCTAACCGATTTACTCGCACAAATGGATTAACCCGGCTTGAAGAGGGACCGCGGCGTGAACGCGCCGAATTGCTCGCTCCGTTCTTCCGCGGTGCATCTTCCCAGCTGCTGCTGCTGCTCCTCTCGCTTTTTCCTCGTTCATCTTGTTTTCAAGCAACTCCCCTCGCTTCATTTGTCTGTTACGCGCAATCAAGAATCCGGTTGTCCCGGCCGAAGCACGGTACATCTGTCTGGAGGCTTTTTAGCGGAGAGAGTCGGAGAGTTAGATTTATTTATTTTCCAAGAAAAACCTTCGGAGCACGTATCGTCAATTAATCACGTAAGTTAATTAATGTACAGCAGACAGGACGAATAGTGAGAACGATCTAATTCGATTCATTAATCGATAATATAGCCGAGTTTTAGGAAAAATTAAAATTAAACTTAAAAGAAAGGAATCTTTATGATTTTATCATCAATGTTCTTGTTCCACGACTTTTGTCCGCCGCCAAGCTCGTCGATACTTTTAGCAAATAAATTGTTTTTGTCGCGGACTCTTTTCAAGTTAATGACTTCGAGAAAAAGTCCTATTTATTGCGCACAGTTTCTTCTTTCGCGTTTCTTTTTTTTTCTTTTATTTCCTCCGACTATTTCCTCTCCCTTTCCCCTCTCTCTCTCTCTCTCGTCTTCTCTCTTCTTTGCGTTGTCTCGTAAGAACACTCTGCTAGTCATATTTTTTCACGTCGTATTTGATTGCTCCTGCTCCGGAAAATATGAGCGAACGTTTATAGGATCACGACGCGCCGAGGTCTGAGCGCGATTATTTATGATATTTGTCGCATTGAGTTTGTTAAGCAACTTATAAATTGCGCGAGACGTACGACACGTCTCAACGATTCCCTCAAGAGTTGAGAGAAAAATCTCTGAGACGCTCTGCCAGTCTAAGCTTATGGGTGCCTTTGACGGCATCCATATCTTGAAAATGCTGCTGTTCCAAAAAGCAAATTAACAATAAGAGAAAAAAATTCAAAACAGTTCAAATTGTATCCATTTCAATGCCGCTGACAATTTCAAGGCATCTAAAAAAATCACAAGTTAGCCACTTTGAATTTTTCTCACAAGATCCATCATTTCTTTCACAATGCTGTAAGATTTTTCTGAAATTCGTGTAAAATCAGGTAATATTAAGTGAGAAAAGATCTCGCAAGTATTCTATTTGGCCAGAAGCTTCGCACTTCGGACTTCATGTCGTGTGAATTTTTTATTACGGAAAATTCAACTCTGGTGGCGCAGCTCATTGTTAGGTTCCCTTGTTTCCCTTTCCCGGCTGTTTCAGTTCTCCCCTTTTGCTATTCTCTCATCCCCACCAGATGTACTGTCAATCGAGTTATTCTTATGGGATTTTAACCGCGGCAAAGCGAGCTGTACGTCATGACGCGCGCATAATACTATTCATGAATCCGCATGATTATCGGAAAACTATATTTATCCTGGATACCGTATTAAATCCCTGTTTCAATGTTGGACTTTCATCCGGTCAGCCTCGACCGCGCTTGTCCCCAGTCCTCACTCCTTCTCTTTTTCTCTCACTCTCGATAGAAGGACGAAGATAAATATCGTCGATGATGAAAATAAAACCCTTGACACGGGTTGGACGGGTGGAGCCTTAACCTTGTCACCTCCACGACCGTCATTTTCGCGGATTTCGCGTATCGACATGACGAGGACATACACTCTGACTCACTCACATACACACACGCGCGCGCGTTCCTGAACCATTACGTCCAACTAAATGGCAGCATCTGCATCTTTTATAAGCTCGACGTTATCCGCATCGGTAGATGCACTTGTCCGATGCTCGTCCACATCGGCGAGCGCGTCCACCGCTCTGTGTCTGTTGACGTAAGTACGCTGAACAGATACCGGTCGTCGATTTATCGCTGTTACGTATGGTCCCCGAAACGACGTCGGATCAAGCTCAATTGCCAGAGTATGCGGTCAATCCTCCCATTTATTACGTGACACCGATACGTCGATGAGTATCGGCATGAATTCAACTAATAATCGACAGTGAGCGAAGATACATAGGAGATACACTAATCGACGTCGAATTCCGTTCTGATTCGCGATCGATTGCTCGCTATCACGAATAATTTGTCATCATGGCTAACCATTCGATCTGCATTTAGCGATGCCTCGATTCACGGAGGAGACTTAAGTAATTTTATTTAGACGCCACTTGCACTGAACGTCTCGAAAATAGTGCGTGATATTTCAATTGTTCATTATTATACTATTCATAATCCAATCTTTTAATATTTTAGGTCGTTGGAATTTATTTGAGGACGCTATAAGTAAAAGTCGTTTCATTGGCCACTGCATACCACATCTTAAAATAAACTTGAAACACTTAAATTGTGTTATGAATACCATTCTGGGTCTATTTTGCTACTTCCAAGTCGAAATTTTAATTCTACTTTTAATCTCAATATCATTTATCAATTTTATTCAACATCTATTTTGATTCTCTGAAGTCTATATCAACTCCTTTTGATACTATTTAACCTACTAACTTTGCTTTGCCGAGAAGTTCTCTTCAAAAAACAAGTGACATTTGTGCATTTTCTGCCATTTAGAGACGTTAAGTGGAATTTCAATTTCTACGCTCATAATAATCATAGATGTGTAACCAGATGCCTAAAACAAAAGATAACATTGACAAGCATTTGTTTTGAGTTTACTTGTGGAAGATACATATAAATATTAATTCACACGTGCCATTGGTGTGCAAACTCTTTTAGTCTTCTATGAACCTCGATCGAGTACAAACTGCCATGTCATGTACCCCTAACCATTATAAATAATTGGAGTTATTTCTACGATTTTAATCTTATGTATAAAACTGAAAATATCATACAAATAATTTTACACGGATGGACTTTGACGATCATTAAGTTTTTAAATATAAAATATACAAGCAAAGCAATTTATAAGCATAAGATAAGTGTAAACATCATTGTATCGTATAAAGTTGTTTAAAAATAAGCACTTCGCCACCTTTAAGTAAATGACTGCATACCCGCGTATATGTACACACGTGGAACGTAATTGTGACGCAACTTGTACCGTTGCATCGGAAGACAATCCTAACATCGATTATTTCTGATTGTTTCAGGCTTCCGCCACCGCAACAGCAAGTGGCGGTGGGTTCTCTAGGCAGTGGTTTAGGCAGCGCCGGAAATGGCGGTACTGCAACGGTAGGCGCGCAAGGCCAAGGCATGGTGATGCCAGGTTTCCCACTTCGTGCTGCCGCGGTGCCGCACTACTCCCCATACTCACCGTCGCGCTTTCACATCGATAAACGTTGTCAGCATAGGTGCTCATGGAAATGCTTCTCGATCATGCTCATTCTTCTGGCCGTCGCGTTAACGGCGATGCTGGCATATTTCGCTGGTAAGAAATCATAACCGTTACATTAGAATTTGCTAAAGCAACGATCTGCTCACAATCCTCTAAAACTCACGATTCGGATACGTCATGTCGTATATAGATACGCCAACTAATTCTTTTGGCACTCGACTGAGGGTTAAATTAAGGCGAAGTCGGCTGTACGTTGGAATGTGTAAGCTGCTTGAAAATACGTTTCTGTCAGATTCGCGTTTGCGATACTCAAATAGACTTTTTCATGATTATCACGATATGAAATAATCAATGATAGAACTTTATGAACTTTTGTTACATTTATGAAGCGAAATTATATTGTACTGAATTAATCGTTAAATTTACATCATATAATAATGTAATATTTTAGTTATATTGATGCAATTACAAATTTATTAAAAGTTAGATTTTTATATTCTGTATGACATATTGTCTTGAGCAAATTTTGATCAATTTTTCGTATTTCTTTTGTATTTTCTTTATATTTCTTTCTATTTCGTCAATCTATGTGATAAATATGAGTGCAATACGAACCATTTGTAAAGGGCGCAACCTTTACAAATTGACTAACAAAGTTATTATCAAATTTACATGACCACCTGATTAGGTTCTTATCCAGATAGACTTCCATAATTATCGCGTCATGAAGCAATCGATAACGTAAACTCTACAATTTGTTTAATTACATTCATTAGGCAAATATATTGTATCAAATTAGTAATTAAATTGATATCATCCAATAATGTGATTTTTGTTTTGTTATATTGATGCAGCAGCAGATTGCTGAAAGTTACACTCGAATATTCATTACAATTTTGTATGAAATATTGTTTTGAGCAAAGTTGATCATTTTTTTCGTATTTCTATTTCGCCATTCGATGTGATAAATTAATAATGAGTGAACATACTCAAACAATATTTCTTATTTTTAATGGAATCTTTTGAATTCTAGGGGATTTTACTCTTATATATGACCTCGAAAGGATCTTTTTAAAACCAACAAAAAAAATATTTTAAGCACAAGTTCTAAGCACAATATTTTTTAAATATTAGAGGGATTTTATCTTTTGGTAAAGTGACATTTTGCTTCCAGTTCCTTTTATAAAAGAAAAAAGTTATAATAATATCTAACAGATTTCTAATTAATAGTCCACTTCATTGAAATACGAATACTCACGAATACTCTTTCAATAAAAGCTTCTGCTTAGAATGTAAAATTACAAGAAATAGCACCTTGTAATTACAGTTTTTTTTTTTAGATGCATGTGAATAATTCATGAAAAAAACGCAACTTTTACAAATCAACTAGTAAAGTTCTTATCAAATTTACATATATCTGTCTATCTGGGTGGTTTTAGCAGCCACTACGATGGTGCTGGTAATGGCGGTGGTAGCTATTTAGCGCGACAGCTACATAAATAATATTTGGTCCGGTGTAAATTTGCGGCAATCGTTTTTATTAGTCCCTGAGCGCACGCCCCAATCGTAACACACCAGCCAGATAGTTCACGCAATTCTATTGCCAGCTGACCCGAAATTCACGGTACAATAATTCATTATTAACTTGCAAATCTGGTTACGACTAACCCAACCCACCTAATACATTAAAATCCATCGGAACGTCGGCATTACTGCACGATACTAATCCCTGTACGCGCAGAGGGGGATTATACATACAACTGACACCCCATAATAGTCCGCGTGAAAGCATGACGAATTTCGCGTACCTAATCATGGAAAACGCAGTTAAAATAAGGTCTGTAAATATTGGCGGACACGTTATATTTTCCCTTTATTTATCGAGAGAAAAGTGAAACAAATCAACTATAAAAAGTAGCTTCCGGTATTTCGCGTAGACGCGCAGCTCAACTTATTAAAAATACAGAGGACGAAAATGGCAAAAAGGGACGAAACATAAAATTAATAAAAGAGAGATACAAAAAGGAATCAATTGAATTTGAAGTGAAGTAAATTATTAAAAATATTTTTTATATACAACTGTTAGTTTTGCTCGTAAAGAAGCACACTATGTACTTCTGTTACATTGGCATTTCTCTTACAATATCCGAGCTTATAACAATACCGCATTAGCATTATTTTACGGTTGACATTTAAACGCTGATTTTTTTGCGAGCAAAGCAGTTTTAAGTTTTAGCTTACAAAAACCGTCGAGTCCGTTTTATTTTACGCTGCCTCATGTCGAAAGTTTCTTTATAAAGAGACGTTGTTGCATCGTCGTAAAATGCCGGAATAGTTCGAATATTGACAAAATTATTTACACGTTATTTCAACTACAAAAACATTGAGAAAAATCTCTGCATAACGGATGTATAAATGTAGAAGGGCAAAACGTTCTCGAATCGCGGATGTGTGTATAACATTTAACTTTTTCTTTTTAAAACTTCGGTAACGTTTAATTTGCCTTCAATTTTAAATTTAACTCTCTTCATTGGCTTATCGCTCATCATACACAGAACATACACATTATTCACACGTAATGAAGAACACAATCGACCGTGATAGTGTAGGCTATGCGTCGGCTTGAAATTAAATATCGTTTAACGGCGGAAGTCCGGATCTTGGATAGGAAGTGCGGCTGTGGCATAACACTGGCTAGCGTAATAGTTCATTTAGCGCGGAGCGGTTGACTCCATCCGGTTAGAAAGAGGCAAAAATATTGCCCGTCGATAGCGAGAGGAAGCGTATCATCCGATCATGGACAGGCTGAACGCATTCGTACGCCATGCCTTTTGTATCCATTAATAACGTGCCTGATAATAGAGAGCCGCAAAAGGAAACATAGGAGAGATGACATATCCGCAATTTGCAGAATTTCCATGATAAAACTTTTCTATCAACTTATTGTTTCAATTTATTATATAAAACAGATGAAGATAATCTTCCTCCTCCCTTTTTTTAAACCAGATACTTTGTAAACCAGATATTGTTAAACCAGATATTTTGTAAACCCTACATTTTCTTTAATTCCTATATTTTTTCTCTAATGCAATCGAAATACGAACATGCAGTATCATTACCGAGGATATATTAAATGTAATAATTACATCAATAATTACCAGAAATGTTAGCTAATATATCTCTTATAATGTATTCATAATTATGAAGGAAAAAATAAACTGTTCAAAGAATATCAAATTTTTAATATAGTGAAAGAAGTGGCGTTTTGAAAAATAGAATGGTAATATGAAATAGACGTAAAAATAAAAAAAACTTCTCTTTTATTATTATAAAATTGCTGATGTTAAAACAATTTTTTTATTGAATTTCTTTGAATGTAAAAATCGTAAGTTAAAAAAAATATTACTTGACACAAGTAGTACAAATGTTATAGAATTTTTTAGCAATGTTATTTAAGAAAGGTACAAGTTACGGAACTTTAAACTTTGCTAGATTGGCTATCACACTAATTTCCCCAAGAGACTTGACCAAAGATAAGCTTATTTCTAGATTTCTCAAAGGAGTGTTCAAAGAAAGACCAACAAGATCCAAATACTCAATAACTTGAGATATTGAACCAATTCCTAAGTATATTGAAAGCATGAGACTTATTTTAATTAAAAATGATAAAAGCAGTCAAAAAGATGATAACTTTGTTGGCACCAGCCACAAGTTTCACACAAATTTCACACTCTGGTACTCATAAATATTGAATAATATACCAATATTGTTTTGGGGAAATTAAGATACCCGATTTAATAAAAACGTCTAAGCCGAGAGTTTTTTTAGTCAAATCTAGTTCTACTTTTTTTCAAAGACAATTATCTGTAGCAAATACTTTAACACAATATATGGAAATAATTAAGATTTAAAAAATTGGACATAAAATAGCTTTTTATATCGATGCTTATATCCTATAAGTGTTCAGACGTTAAATCATTGGATAAAATCATTACTAGAAGAAAAAGGCTAGTGTTAATAAACATTACTTTAGTACATACAGCACAAGACATGCAGCAGCATCAGTTGCATATAGGAAAAATGTTGATATTAATATAATAAGACAAACAATAGGATGGTCGCAAAATTCGTAAATATTTGCAAAATTTTATAACAGGCCTATACAGGCCTAAGGATATCTTCACTCGAATAATTTTTTTTAATTTATTAAGTAAACAAGTATATGTTACTAAAAAAAGTTTCTATTATATATAAATATTTTAGTTTATATTCTTCATAATAAATAAATATCGAGAGTTGTAGTATGCTCTAACTTCTATATATTATCGAGAACGAGACGCGTGGTATAATTAATCGATTAAACGAGACCGCCAAGGGCGAACGAAATTCGATCGTAATTATACGCAGCGTCTCGTTCGAAGATGATCCCACCCACTATATTTTATCTCTTCGCCCTTAATTATAAAAGACAACTTTCGATAGGAACAACTCTAAGCTATGGACTCTAAGCTATAGTTATATCAAGAAGGACGTCGCAAATGGAAGAAGGCTTTAAATGACGCGAAATTTAAAAATCTTATTGCTCTAAAACTCTTGTGAAGCTAAGCGTACATAACCGACGATACTACATGTTATCTTCGAACAAAACGCTGTATAATCACGATCGAATTTCGTCCGCCCTTGGCAGCCTCGTTTAATCGATTAATTACTGACAGATTGTAACAATATATTATTTAAGAGATCAGTTTTGTTTCGTAGTGCTATCCTGTTTCATATTTCCACTTTCTTCCCTATTTATGATAATGTCCGCGTCATATTTTTATCAACAATGTTTGAATTCAGAATTGGACGTTACGCCCAATTATAAATTATGACACTCTGCGTTTATAAGCAGACAACGTAAACTATCGTATTGTACTACCGTGCTGTTTTGCTTGAAAAGAAAATGCAGAATATAGATTTTATTTTTTATTTATATCAATGTAATATACGGTTAGGATATCGATCTATCATTTTTGAGATTGTGTTAAACTATATCACATCTGTCACGGCGAATTAATGTACATGATTTCGTGTAACATTTCGTAATAATG